AAACAACGACGCGATAAATTGATATGGTGTAGTGAGGGGGTGAGTAGAGTGTAACAAGAGAAAGAGAAATGGAGGAGCGGGGAAGTGAGAGGATAATGGGGAGTAAGAGTGGCGTGTGGGGGTTTGTGGTGAATGATTGAGGAGGGAAAGGAAATGTTTGTAAGGGGGAGCGTCAGCGTAGGTGTACTCACTCTACTTTGGTACTGTACTCAAAGAAGGCTGGCAGCACCGTTTGAAATGCGGCCACAAACCTAGGATTAGAGTAGAGTCCCTACTACCTACTTAGGTATTCTTTATGCATGACCCCGATTGTCTGTAACAAACCACATCCAACAGGGGCCATCCAGTATCGACAAGGCAGGAATACACATGCCCCAGGTTTTACATGCAGGATATCTTACGCTACGTGGAGTACCATTTGGCACTTACCGGTGTTTTGTTTTGGAACCTCACCCCCATCAACTCCCTACTCGTAGTCATAAAAACGTTTATGGACTGGCATAAGCCAAAAATACATATATTTTGGTGAGTACAAATATCAGTACTAGGCATCATAATGCAGGATGCGTTTACTTCGCGGGCTTACTCTACTCTAAAGTATGCCTGCCTGCCTGTCTGTATTCTGCCTGTGAGACTTGAATCTAAATCTCCGAATGCCTGATACGATTCGTCTCCATCGATCTATCCTTCTTCGTTCCCTTTGGTATTAGGGCAGTCCGGTATCGTATCCGCGATACATTACGCCTTGGTACTGGAACAATGTTCACTTATGCTCATACACTTCGGAGAAATTTTTAAATTTGGAGGCTTATACTAACGTCTCCCCCTGCCAGTGCACAACTACACATCAGATCATAGTACTCTAGAGTAATATCTAAGAAAGCAATGGATACAACAATCCCAAAAAGCACACCGGTGAATACGCCTCACAATTAAGCATCTCTCTGCGTGAGCACGATTAATCATCTCAATGCGCTCAGGTATGAGTGGGGCGTATATCCATCATCAGCAATCTCACTTTAACCTGGTGAGAACCAAATAAACCCCATGAACAAGATATGTAACAAAGAGAGAAAGGGAAAATTTCTTCAAGTTTATCCTTTCCGCTCACGAGACCAGCCGAGAACTTTGAGGGCCTGTTAACCTTACACCCCTTCTCTGCTACCCCATCGGAGAACCGGACGGGGTCCTCGGTCGATTATAGCCATATGCAGGTAACCCGGTCGGGCCTAAATCTCCACACAAGGACAGATCCCGGCGCAAAGCCTTCTCTCTCTTTTTTTTTTTTCCCTTCCTGCCAAAGGACTTGTCATGACAAGCAAACCCAAACCCTAGACAAGAAGGCAAACACCTTCCCTCTTCCCCGCGCCTCCCCGTGCATGAAAGATTGCCGATATTTGGTTCCATGCGAGGGGACACAAATGACATGATGCCTTAATAAATAACCAATTTGTCCCCTCTTTTGGTGGGGCGAAAGCTTTCAATTTTGCCGGGCTCCACAGATGCCAAAGGGGAAAAAAAAATCAAAGAAAAAAAGTCCTCTGGATGTATTAACGCGGAAAGTCCACGCTTTAGAGATGCAAAAAAAAAAGTCCGCGATACCCCCCTGTAAAACACAAGAATACCAAGCATTTCGTCGATCCACTGGAAATTCAATTCTTGCACACCCTCACAATCGTCGATTCCTGCTCTCCACTTCCAACGTTACCCCCTCTGTCATGATGGAGTAAAAAAAATTTCTTTTTTCACCAAGAGCCCCGCCCGGGTCTCTTTCCTTTTCATTTTACTCCACGTAAATTTGATTTCAAGCGATTGGATCGGCTAACTCCCGGTGACGATGCAGAAGCGTGCAGTGGTGCCACGTATGAATAATGAGCTTGTTTCTAGCAAAAGGAAATAACAAATCTGTGTCAGAAAGAAACCTATGTAAACGAATGCTCCAGTTGCTGAGGCTTCAGAGGAGATGAAGTCCAACCTTAGGCTCCACTGGTTGCAATTTCACCATCACAACGGCAAGCCGCAACACACGAGCACCGTTATCGGATAAACGCCCCACCCGAGGTCCGGCTCTTTTATGAGCAGAGAAAAACCTTACCCTGGGAATCTCAAAGTAGGGTAGACGACTTGTGCAACATCTGAGCGCTGCAGGAGATCTTCCCGCTGCATCGCGAGCCTAGGTCTGAGAGCGTAAGTTACGATAGTGTAACCCATCTACTTTTTAGTTTTTACAACACCGGCATTGAGACCGGCAGCTAGAGTAGATGCACTCTACCAGCAAACTTTGATAAGGATTAGAATTTTATACCGGGCGGGCCCTATTCACGACTCAATCAAGTGGGGTTTTGTGCTGAGCAAGAATATGGCGATGTTACAAGTTGTGCTTTTTAAGTGTTACTCGGGCATGATCCCTTTTCTGATTAACCCGGCGCCAGTCAATGAGGTCCTTGAAGTCCAGTGGATCTAGAACGTCGGGATTTGAAGGTTACAATCGTGGTAGATCCTCAAGGGCTTATATGAGTGTCAACAAACAATATTCTCTAGGTATCCTTGGGTAGAGTTGGAGTACATAAATTGCCCAGGATATCCTTTACACAACCGTTGGCCGAACTCAGTATAGATAGATGAATGTGGTAAATACCTATCATTGATTCTGGATATCTACCGTGATCGAACGTACGTTTGCGAACGCGTCAGGCTTCGTCTTGGCCATCAGAGGATCTGCGACGAAACGTTGAAGTTTCGGGTTGAAGACCTATTCCAGTTGGTCTTCACCCCGATCTTCGATTCTTACTTCCTGTGGGCCGGCGTCTACGCAGCATAAGATAAACGTTTATCCTCATGGATCAATTGGGATGTTTGTGTGTCTATTACACCGTTACGCAAGACCACCAATTAACAAAACAGTACTGGAAGAATTACAGGCTGAAAGTCCTCGTGGTATCTTGTTCGTAGTTTCGGTATACACTACGTAGAGACGTATGTAGGTGACGGATCAAGGCGGAACCCGGAAATTGGCAGGGCCGTACCCGTACCCGTACCGTACCACAACAATGGCATGTGAAGAGGCCTACCTGAGGATATATGAAATCCATAGCCACCAGCGGCCTGGGTAATGGTATTCTCTACTTTATGCTATACGTTTTTCCCTGTGTAAGAGGATTTGACCCCTGGCGTGGCTTTATGACTCTAATTTAGCTCGCCTCATGGCTTACTTCATACACGATCACTCGGCAAGCAAACTCCTAGCGCGATTATACTAAGAGGGAAACAGCATGATATATGCACATACATAAATAGAATCCTCTTCGGGGGGAGTGCAGGGGAGCTCTTTCTACTCTAGCTAGTCTTCTATCTGCCGAAAGCCAACCGCTGCCACGCCGTCCAGACGAACGATAATTGAGAATGGCATCATCAAACCTAGTTAACCCTGCATTGTAGAGTATGTCTTCTCTTCCCTCTAGGTGTGTCGTCTTTGAGATTTAATAGATTTGTAGTGATAGGTATTGCCACACAAACCTACAGTATGTGCAAGTAGGCTTTTTACAGTGTGAGTCTACGTGCTGCGGATGTACCCAGGGTGTCGGAAAGTGATGCACACTTGGTGATATCTCAACCATGAGAGAATTAATCTTCACACAAGTCTATCTTGAGGTCAATTTAAGTGTGCGGATTCCTTTCATAATGAAAAAATGGGTGGGAGGGTTTGTCATCGATACTTTTTGAGTTTTTACTACTGGTTTTGGCTATCTAATAGTGACTACTTGCCTGAAGAATGGTTATTTCACATTCAAATAACACTAAATATATTCTTGGGCATTACAAAGATGTCCTACACTCGAAGTTTGAATTTAGGGAGCGTGTTGCGTTGTGCCAAAATATAGGTATTTGGGTAATTGGGCGTTGCCAGGCCAAAATGCCCCGAATGTCGGAGGCAGAGGGGGTCGCGGGTAGAATGGTACAAAGTTGCCTATCTAAGCCTAGTTCACTATGAAATCAATGATTATTCAGCCAAATCCATCACAAGCCTGGGAGCATCTTCCGGCGTAGATAGTCTCTGGCAGTCATTCCTTGGCACATATAAATCTCGAACTCAGTCCCTTCTACTAGGTCAACTTTGGGGGGGGGGGGGGGGAGAGCGAAGGGGATTCCGGAAAGGGGGGGAGGAGGTAGGCGCCGAAGGCACCCCAATATCGAGTACCCCACGATTATTGAGGAAAAAGTTAATATATATCAACATATAATCCATAATTATTCGCAAGGTAGACTTCAAAGAAGAGCAGAAACATTCGGGGCCTAGCCAGCCTACTAGCAACCAGTATACATCACTTTCCAACACCCTGGGTACCACATGTAGTTATACTTTGAGGTTCCCCCCCCCCAATCCACTAGTAGGCAATTCCGGGAGTTTCCTTACCTCGGAGGTGCTGTACCACATAAGAACACAATTACTTTGCAAATGTCAAGAATTTTATTAAACCGGCATCGCATTACGAGTACTAGTTCCACCATCGAATCTCCATTAAACATCAAACAGGATAATAAAAATGCACAAACATTATAACCAGATGGGATTAAATAATCGCTAAATGAATACCGAACTGTGGAATAGATATAAATACAACTCCTCTTTCGCCGCGGTTTTTTTTTTGCTTGCTAAAGAAGTAATACTCAGTACTGAAACTCAAGTTGTAAGTGAATGATGGAATAGAGGATAAAAGGAAAAGTAAAGGTTGAGAAGAAGAAATCCCGAGAAACATCCACGCCGAAAAGGAAATTTTAAATATAGAACCCTCCTGGACGCCCGCCCCGTCCTAATTTCCACAAGAAAACAAAAAAAAAAAAAAAAAAAAAAAGGAAAAAGAAGAAAAATCCTCATCACCAAGATGTAAGGAAACAATACTGTCAACATCAGACGCTAACTCTCTTTGCACATAACTCCTACAAAAAAATAAAGAAAAGAAATAAAAAACAAGATACATCTAATCTGGCTCCATTTTGGTTTATCGTATTTGCTGGAATGGATCCAACGCTATACTCATACGGCCCTCATTCTTGTTTTTTGCAAAGCAGTTCCAGAATCGCAATGTCTCGTCGCCGGCACCGGTAACAATGACTTGTCCATCGGGTGACATCGCTAGGTATAACACTCTGTAGGTATGCCCCGTGAGGCTGACAACTTGTGTCATGCTAGGATATTTCCAGACAACAATTTGATTTTCGGAGTATCCATGCGTGCTGACAATCTCATTTGAGTTTTTGCTCCACGCAAGGTTGCAAACTTGGCTTCCAGTATCGATTTCACTTATAGGCTGTCCCGTTAACGTGTTCCAGAATTTTATTCTTCGGTCCGCTGTACCCCCACCTGATGCCAATGTGCCGTGCTGATGGGGTGACCATGCAATCGCTTTTACTGCTGCTGTATGCTCTGTAAACTTGTATAGCGGTTGCTCACTAAGTTTGTCCCAAACGAAAAGTTTGTTGTCGTTTCCTCCTGATGCTAGTTGCCCATCTTCACAATTCCATTTTAACCCACAAACTTCCTGCTTGTGGCCTACAAGTTTTGCGATATGTTGATCAGGCGCACGGACATCGCGATGATATATTGTTCGATCACGTGAGCCGGATGTCAAGATATGATCATTCCAGGCAAGAGCACCTAACAAGTTAGTATAGGGTTGATATGAGGCATGTTTAGAAGACTTACCAACTCGTGCTGTGTGTCCTGTCATTACTCGTAACCGGCGGCACTCCTTCGCATCCCATATCTGGACATACCCTTTATTTGTCCCTATTGCAACATGTGATCCCTGAATAAATTGTGTTAGCCCAATCTTGAAATGAGGTTAGTGAAAGAATATCGATCCCATACTCTTTGTATCCAAGAAACACTCGTAACTTTATCGTCTGTCCCCAAATCGCATAGTTTTGTTACCATCCCTGAGGCCGAATTCCACATGTAAACGCAGCTGCCCAGACCTACACCCAGTATGTTTGTGCTCCCCCAATCCACTAGATTCAGATAAAAATCATCTGCCAGCTCGGGCGCATCAAGTACCTTATATGGTACTTTACTTACAGCCCTTGGTTGTTTTCTGGGCGATAGAAGCATTCGCTGACTGTCGAACCTAACAGGTGATAAGGAGTATATTTCAGATCTGGTATCAACGTTGGGTCCATGTCGGGTTTGAGGAGTCCGCGTCTTTGGTGACATATAAGTAAAAAGATTCTTTGAAGGCGTGGCGGGGGTGTTGGTCGAGCTGTTGGTCGCAGGAGGTGTTGGTGCGCGGGCAGAATCGCGAGCAGAGTTACGAGTTGTTAGTGATGATGGTGAACCCTGGGGAATCTCATTGTGGAAAAGCTCAGAGCGGAGGAGCGTTGAAAAAGTCCGGTTGGCCTCTTCGGCTGTCGATAGGAATATCCATTAGTACCACCACCCGATAGCAAGGGATATAAGTAAGCATACTCTTTTGAAAATGGAGTTCGCCATGTGGTGTTCTTTTCTTTGGTTTCGAAGGGGTTGAAGGCGAACCATCGGCATGTAGCAAGCTGTAGCTAGCTTGCAAATCCACCCCTTCGCGATTCGGTATAAACCTGGAAGACTTCAATCAACTTCAATCCCTCATAACTAGCCTTCCTAGGCGACCCAAATAATTCCCATAAACAACAGGCCACGCACCTATCACCGTAAACTATCCGCTGCCTCTTCCTACTTGGTGATGGAGCCGGGACCGGGGATGCGACGGCGTCACTCAGGGCTGCCCTCAGCGCATCAGCATCAGGGCCATTAGAGAGCCTTGGAGCTGGCGATTCAGTAGGAGATTTAGGCTTTGCTGCGTGTCGAACCCGATTCTCGAATTCCGACCCTCGCATTGTGGTGGGGGTGAGGAAAGAGAAGCAGAGAGCTAGCGGGGCTACTGCAAGCTAGCTCGCTGAGAGGCAGTGGCGATGGGTTATATGGCCCAGAAGCTTGTTAATCTAAGGTATAACAAGCAGGATGACTATTAGTGATAGGTTGTGGATTGGATATAGCGTTGATGTTGTGGGTGAGGGGTGATGGATGACAGGTGATGGGAAGCGATGGGGGGGGCTCGGGTGTTGTAACTTGTGGGTTGAGCGATGATGAGTGAGGTCGCGGTTGCGAAAAGTAAACAAAAACGCAGGACGTCCCAACCGGGAAATCGGCCGCCCCTGTTTGGTAAGTGCTACGTTGTGCACCCGGCGTTGTCCGGGGAACGCTACAAAAGGCGACTAGAGGGAGGTCGATATGTTGTTTCAGCGTATCTTCGATACTGCATTACATGACAATGTATGTATTACGTATAGATACTGATATCTGTAATAACGTTTACGAAAGAATCAATCGGGGGCTTGGTTTTTGGTTTCGAGATTCATGATTCTGATGATCAGGGCTTACTACATGTATGTTAATATGCCGCCGCTCTAACGAAACCGTTTGTTGTCATTTTCCTCATGCAGACGATTCAATGCAACGAATTCAAGAGACAAATGCACTGGAAAAACCTACAGACACCGATTTTTTAATTTCATATCTGCTCGTTATCGTGGTTGGTGTTTGTTTGTTTGTTTATGGAGCAACTTTTTACAACTTTTGATGCCCAAGTCGAGAAAGTCCAGATGCAGTTCAGATCTGAGTGCTGCATAAATATCGAAGAATTCAATGCCAAAACAGTGCAGCCTACTATTTTCTGGATCAATGGCGAACCTGGCTCAATGGCGAATGACTAACGAGGGTAGTAAATCGTGCAAGATCATGCTGTCTCACCCGCAGGGTCCTCACTCGCATATTTCTATTTTCATGTAAAACGGCTAGACACTTTCCTTATTTGGTATTTATTCTGTCTACTGCTATTTATTTTGTTTATCCAGCATAATTATCTCTTTATCAAAAAGTCACTCCAGATCTACCCAAGTCATGATTCTCCTTGATTGTTTTTCTACTTGTTTGTTTTAAATAGTGTAGATGGCACAAGTAAGTAATTACATGTACACATATCCCTGGACCATATCCTATTACCTAGATGAACCAGTTCCGATCAGATTGACGCTCGGTCCAATGTCTTGGCTCCCGCATGCTTGACGTTTACACCAACCCCACCTTATCTTCCCCGCACATTTCGTGAACATCCAGAATACCAGTAACCATGACTTCTAGCTCCCGAAAATACGCTCTCGACTTTCTGTCGTATGTAAATGCATCACCAACACGTGAGAAGCTCCAAAAACTTCATTTTCCGAACATTTTGACTGATCAACAAATAAATTAGCTTTCCATGCTGTTGAATCCTCAAAACAGCTTTTGAAAAAGGCTGGATTTATCGAAATTAAGGTTTGAAATAGCTTGACAAGGAATATATATACAAAAGAAGCTGACTATTTGTTGCAGGAGCGTGAGCCTTGGGCTCAGTGTGTTGAGAATGGTGGTCGTTACTTTGTGACTCGAAATGGCTCTTCTATAATAGCTTTTGGGGTGGGGAAAAAGTGGAAAGTATGCGAATCTCTATCTTAATTGGTTAATTTTTGATAGATTTTGACTTTCTTGTAATGGATAGCCAGGTAATGGAATGGCGTTGCTTGGAGCTCACACAGATTCACCGGCTCTGCGTATCAAGCCAGTCTCCAAGAAGTTTGCAGAGAACGGGTCTTTCTTGCAGGTAGGAGTTGAAACATATGGAGGTAAGCTTATATTAAATCCCATTAGAAATCTCCTTATTTCAGGAGAAGGGTAGTTCCCACTAACTAGTTTTCATATAGGTGGACTATGGCATACATGTGAGCCAGCATCTGCCCATATTTAGACTTATTATGTCCAGTCATGCAAAATCAGGTAGTATTTCAGTCCTAATATTTACCAGGGTTTGATCGCGATTTGTCCATTGCTGGGCGCGCAATGGTCCGCCATTCAAATGGTAACATCGTCTCGAAGTTGATCAAAATCGATCAGCCTATCCTGCGGATCCCTACCCTTGCTATTCATCTGGACCGCCAGGAGACCTTTACGTTCAACAAAGAGACGCAGTTGTTCCCAATTGCTGGCCTTGCTGCTGCCGAGCTTAACAAGACGGCGGCCGACAATTCTTCGGCCGAGAAATCGGAATCTGGAGGCGACTTCAAGCCCTTAGCATTGATGACAGACCGTCACCATCCTATGATCATCGATCGTATTGCAAAGGCGGCGGGTGTTAACGCAGAGGATGTTCTTGATTTTGAAATGATCCTTTATGATACCCAGGAGTCTGTTCTCGGCGGAATCAATGATGAACTAATCTTCTCTCAAAGGCTCGATAACCTGACTATGTCCTTTTGCGCAACTGTCGGTTTGATCGAATCCATCGGAGATGAGAAAGCTCTTGATGAAGAATCAGGCATTAGATTGATTAGTTTGTTCGACCACGAAGAGATCGGCTCACAAACGGCACAAGGCGCTGATTCTAACTTCCTCCCTGCTATCATACGCCGTCTGTCGTCTGATGCCGCGACGGCTTTCGAAGAGACATTGATCAAGTCAATGCTCTGGTCATGTGATATGGCGCATTCTGTGCATCCTAATTACCCCGCGAAATACGAATCTTCCCACCGTCCAGAAATGAACAAAGGCCCTGTCATCAAAGTCAACGCTAATGCGCGCTATGCCACAAACTCACCGGGTATCGTGTTGACAACAGAGGTGGCAAAGATGGCAGGTGTACCGCTACAATTGTTCGTAGTTAGGAATGACAGCTCTTGCGGATCAACCATTGGCCCAATGTTGAGTGCTGCACTTGGTGCAAGAACTGTGGACATGGGTAATTGCCAGTTGAGCATGCACTCTATCCGTGAAACCGGGTACATACACACACACCCCCCTTATAAGCTTGATTATAGAAAAAACAAGAATAAGAGCTAACAAGATACTACTAATATCATAGAGGAGCTCACGATGTTGAACATGCTGTCAAGCTGTTCAAAACTTACTTCAATAACTTCTCTCAACTGGAGCCGAAGATCCTGGTTGATTCTACCACATAAGCTCACTGCATTCTCTGGGGCCAAACTAGAAGCAGATAATTGTGGGCCTATTTCAAAATTGTAAACACACTCGTTGAGAGACAGTATAGTAGGTGCTTTTGTTGAAGAAATAAATTGGCTATTCTCAATTTGGTTGCCTTTCACAATCCATAGATTTAGACAACTGTGACCAGGAAACTTAGTAAAATAAGCATTGGATATGAAAGTCCCACCCCCTTATGGTATATCTTTGGGCAATACCTTGAATAGACATAGCTACTGAAGTATTGAGTAGATTCATGATATATCACTCGCTTACTTCAATGGAATGGATTGGAGATATTATTTATGTTAGATTGATTAATTGTGTGAGTTATTTATGTTAGAGGATATAGCGGTGTACTAGGCAACTCTGCGCCTATTCAGGCATTGTACTCAGGGAAACCCTCCCACCTGGGTTACAAGGCCGTCTTGAGATTACCTCTTGTGATTGTCCCAGGAAAGTATGTAAGTTGATTTCAGCTAAGTTACACCTAGAGGAGTTCTGTAATGGTTGTTTGTGAGCGTTAAGCACTCTTCGAAGAAAGCGACGGTGTGCCGTTGTTTGCATGTTATGTATGTAAGTATGTCATGTATCTTCAAGGAAACAATTCCCTTCTAAAGTCCGTATGTAAGGAAGTTTTACATGTACTGCATACTTAAGTAAGTTGAGTGTATCTCTATTAACTAAGGAGTACGGCTTCATTGTGAGTGTTGATATTTGGCAACGATATATATTGCAAGCTCATCCATCCTTGGGAGTACATAACTTCAAAAAAAGAATCGGAAGTTTGGCTGTGGGGGAGGAACAAAAATGGTAAAAAATCGTATATACATACATTGAAAATATAGAAAGTACCCCGTACTTAAAAGGAAAAAAAACAAAAGCCGTCTCTATTCTAACAAATTGCTATTCAATATCGCCACCTTACATATCAAGAGTCTCACCTGCTGATATTTACTTTCTCTCGGAGAAAGAGAACAAAAAAAATAAACCGACAAAGGGGAAATACCGCCAAATACACCAACTTTTGTTTTCTCTTTCGCGCCTGTGGAAAGGAAATGATATGAATGGAATAAATAAGACACTATCTGTATAGATAGAAGCGCTCTTGGGGCCAACCAAATTCGGGCGTGCGAAGAAAAGATGAGGGGATATTAGAAAACAAAAAAGACCAAGGTAAATATTTCACAGAGAAATGAATTTTCTTTTGGCAGAGACTAGCCGCCACTAACTTGCACCGCAAAATTCTGGCACAACCCAATTATTAGCAACACACCCGAGCAGCAGACATCGAGATAACGAACCTGATAATAGCTTCTAAAATTCTTTTGGTCAAATTGCACCAACGCAGTCAAATATTCGTCCGCCAAGGCGAAGCCAAACGAAGGGAAATAGATGGTCCTAAGATAATGGACATAATTTTCTCCTAATTTGTAATAGAGCATCTTCTGGAGCCCAGCAATCTCGCCCAGCACCATTTTAGCTTGCGCATCCTTTGGATTAAACCCAGTTGTTGAAGGCACCTGGAAGCATAGTAACGAGAAGTTTTCGATCATGACTGACTCGAAGCCTTCGAGAGGTCTCTCTGGTGGGTTATTAGCGACACTATTCGGCTGTTGCTGCTGCTGCTGTTGCTGCTGCTGTTGCGGTTGTCCAGCAGTTGATGGTCCATAAACGGCTGACATTTTGGACATAAGCAAGAAGGCGACCTTTGCAGTTGCAGGATCTGATATATCCTTGGCAAAGTGTTCTATGACATTAAGACTTTGATTGAAAACTTCCTGGTTGGCTGTTCCCCAGGACCTGTTAGAGTAAAGGCGACGAGTGATAGATTATGATTTCGGTGACTTACATTGAGTTATGAGTACATGTCCAAGATCGTTGTTGAGAATGCACATTAAAAATCCAAGATATTCTTTTTTCAACTCCGTCAATTCTAAAGCGTCGTCCGTTCCAGTGGTTTCTTCGCCTAAGGCAGAAAATATCCTACCAAGGAGTGGTGTCATCAAGGAATCAAGGATATTGAATATATCCGTCTGGTGCTTTGTGTCAGTCATTATTTTCATTTGCAGCGGAAGAACGCATACCTTGAATCCATGCACCACTTGCTCCAAGAGCCTCAAGAATGTCACCATCTCTTCCTTCGTTGAGTTTTCTGCTAATAACCCCTCAATCCACCTTGGCAACATTGGCAAGATCTTCTGGCCCAAAACACCCACCATTCTTGAAAAAGAGTGTCTAGCTGCCTCTCTGACGTTAGGAAACCTATTAAGAGCTTCCAATGACACCAATATGGCCTCTGCAGCATTCTTAAACTCATCGGAAACAGGTCCGCCAGGAGGGGTGGTTGCAGATGTGTTAGGTGCCCAATCGGAGAAACCTCTTGCCAATGTACCAAGGGCCATGATATCGTGATGAATTTGTAGTACCGCTCGTGGATCTCCACCCTTTGCCACACCAAGAATCTTCTCCATGTCTATAAATATGGGGTTCATGATTGTTTGAGCAAGCATGACCTGCTTCTGTTCAGGAATCGATTTTATGGAAGACAGACATCCAACTGCGTCAAAAAGGTATAATTGTGACTCAAATGCCGAGTCTTCTCCTTGGTTTTCATCCGAAGACATGTCATCATCTCCATTATCACTGGGTAGCTCCGCATTTATCACAAGAAGATCACTGATCGCTTGAATAATCGTCTCCGAAACTTCACCTATGTGTTGTCGGAGAGATTTGACAAAACGCTGAAAAAGGTACCAAGAACGTTTTCGCACCCGGGGATGATTGTCGTGGACCCCCTTGACGAAATCTTCAAGAGCTTGCGCAATGAGGTTGGTATTGGATTCAAAGAAAGGGGAATACCGGTTGATAATCTCCATATACCTTAGCTTAACAGCTGGGTGTGATGAGCTAGCAATATCTGGGTGAAAGCACAATTGTTAGCTTTACATATTTCCGAGCATACAGGGGACCTTTGGAGCCAATTCATACTAGAGTTCATCATTTTAAACATCATGCCAATCAGGGTTTCGGCAGCAACTCCATTTGGTTGTCCTTTGATATACAGCCCGCCATTCCTCATTGCAAGCTCTCCAAATATGAACATCTCATACAGTGCAGTTTCTACTTCTCGCCAATCAACCGCACCATACCCCCCTTGTGCTACCCTTTCAAAGGTATTGCCCACAAGCGTTGACAAAGATTGGATGTAAAGACCTTCATCAATACTGGCAACAGTATCTTGAAGAGTCTTCAGTTTCTTCCGGAGCTCTTGGAACTCAGCCTCATCCGTTCGCTCATCCCCATCCCCCCAATTTGTGTCCACATCATATTTCATCTTCATCACAATTGAGCTGAGTATTGGTGGTAGCATTTGAGCATGAGATTGGGAAATTGAATTGGATGTCTTTTTCTCTTTTCGTAGCAGAGTAAGGAGATCGAACATGAATTGAAATACTGCTGTTGATACTTCGTCGTACTCGTCGGAAAAGAATCGGAGGAGGAACGGAACGAAAGCCTGCAAATATTCTTCTGCACGTTGTTTTGAGTGGGGATCCATGCCATCAGTATCCAGGATCCTGATTAGATCCATTCCAATACCGTTTACCAACTTTGCCACGTTCTCCGCAAGGTCATAATCATAATCATCCTGCCCTTGAGCCTGCAGAGCAGAAGAAGCCACCAAAGACCCAACAATTTCTCCTAGCTTCAAAAATGCGATTAATTCAAGCTTATCTGGACCTTTCATCTTCTTACCCACAATCTCAGCCAGTGTCTCGATAGCTCCATTCCTAGGCTTTCCTTCGGCTGACAAGAAGTAGAAAAGTAAACCTAACAAGACGTCGTTGACGACCAAAGAGATATCGATCCAGCTGACCCATCGACCGATTACCCTCAAGCATAGCAGAACAACATCCTCATTTGCTCCTCTCCATTGCCCCAAGATTTCCTGCCAAGAAGCCACCAGCTTCTTCACATCACGCTCACGAGCAGCATCCTTTATTGCGCTATTTCTTTGCATTTCTTCCGCCGACCGTGGAATGAGAACGTCGGCAACCTCTTCATGCACGCTAGCCGTCATTCGCAGAAAAAACATGACACCCTGATAGTTATCATGCTGACCGTTGGATGTCGAAGTTAATGCTAGTATATCGTCGAAGAAGGTTGGCCATGACGTTGTGTACATTGCGACGAAAAGATAAGTCATAGTCTGAGTGAGTTTATTTTGCATCATGCCCGAATCGGAAATGTTTGAGCTTGATAGGTATGTCCGCCTCATATACTCCACGAGTGCATTCTTGATGTATGTGAGGGATTGATCCTGTGGAGTTTGGTAACGCTGTTGGATTGCTGTGTTTAAAACATCCAGGCAGAACATGCGCACGATTTCGTTGGCTCTCTGATCCCTGACAAAAAGGGGTAAACAAATCTGCCATCCTTCTGGAGAAACCTTGACGTTCTGCAGAAATTCCATAGCCTATAGACATAAGTCAGCAATTGCCAAAACGATCGGTAAAAGTAAGACTCTTTGAATCCCAATTTCCAAAATACCTGTCCTTTGAGCTCCTGACTGGTAGTAGGGCTGGACGCAATATCCACCGCGCTTTCAACCTATTGCGAGTAAGAAGTAAGCACAACCTGTTTCTCGTCGTGATGATACGAGAAAAAAAAACCATACTTGTGTATCCATGTTTGCCTAGAACACCTCTACTAGAATATAAGGAAGTGATGCTCGAAGAATTGAGCAATTAAGTCGATAGAGGCGTATGGTTGCGCTATGGAAGTAGATTGTGATCCCCAGGGAGCCGAATGTGGTCTTTCTATCCTTGGCCGGAGATATCTGATATTTGAGATGATGTAGTGAGATAAGAGTCACAGATTTTGGATACTAGTGAATCCTTTTATTTCCTGGGCCCTTGATCAGTTAATTTTGTTCTGGAAGTAAAGGAAGAATCTCCCCACGTAGGATAGAGAGTTGCTCTAGAAAGACAAAGAGGAGGATTGAGGCGGGGCAGATGAGTGGCTAGACTAGTGACTAGTGAGCACTATACCTTCAAAGCCGGCGACAGCTCGGAGGAGAGGCAGGTTTAATATGACGCGCTCAGTAATCTTCGAAAGATAATTTGGGAGGCACCGATCATCAAAATGAGGTCCTTACTTGAGTGTTGCAAGAAAAGAAAACATGAAAGGTATCGTGTCTGCTGGCCTTTAGGAAAAATTGTGGTGGGGCACTGGCCCGATCGGAATGGGTACAAGCTTTCGCCTCGCCAAGACATCGAACTGAACTTACTAGGATGAAGTCACCGCTTAAATCCTCGAAATGGCCGCAGAGCACGTGATGCTAGATATCATAAAAGCTTCTTACAAGTTCAACTTCAATACAATGTGTGGTACTTATGTTACTAGTAGTGGCCCAACTCGCGACCGCGAGTTGAACTTTAGATTATGGGTATCAAGTGTTCAAGAATTGTAGAAGGCCTTCAATTGATCAATGAGGACCCCCTCCACCTTCCCTGCTACCTCCTACTCTTCTCTCTACAATTATGGGGATCGTGGTGTAGCTCAGTATTTTGATGTGTCGTGCTTACTAAACCCACCCCTGTCGCTGTCGACCAATCAAAGTGCAAGGACTTTAGAAAAATCGAGTTGTTAATGGAACAGTATGGTTCATCATGGACATTATAAACGTAACATGCATTGCTCATTAAACCTGTGGTCTAGGTGCGGAGAATCCAAGGCAGTATAAATTCTTTAATATTTGTATCAAAACATTATTTCACGTACTTCTGGTATCATTCTGGCCTTCTGGAAAATTTATAAATCCGTCACTCATCGCTCATAGAACATTAAACCCTCTAGGAATGGAGGGAAAGATTCTTGCCCAAAAAGGAAAAAGGAAAAGAGGAGCCTTGTCTTTTCAAGACTGAACTATTTTGTGACGGCATCTGCGATATTCAATCCACCCATAGTCACACCAGTATTTGGACTTTCAGCTGCCGTGTTTAGTTTCTCTTGTTGAAGACGGATGAAGGCCAATTTCTGAAACTTATTGAGCGAATTGAAGAAATGACGTCCAGCCTATTTATGATATATATGTCCCGTTAGGATCGTCGTAATTTAAATCCACAGAAGTTGTTTGTGGGGAAGTTGATAAACTTACCATGTGTGTACTTATTCTCTCCAGCAACTCCACAACCGCAAACCGTACTTTCTGCAGCGGATGGAAGAGACCAACTGCGATTGGAAATAATCCTCCTTGATTTTCTGGAAGTACACAAAGAAGCTGGTTAATCTCTTCGTATTCTACGACATAGTCTCTGATTGTCGTATAAATTTTGGCAGAGTCATCGATTGACAACCTCAGATATCTTAGGCGGTCAATCTGGTGGTGCAGGTCAACAACCTTGATTGGTTTTGCCATATAGAATTGCAGAACATCCTGCTCAAAGTCAGCTTGTATCCGAAAGATAAAGCTTGGTGGTGTACTTGCCTGACAATAAGAATGGTATGTCCTACTACCTCTCCATCCCTCTATCCTAGCCATGTTCGCCGCTAGATCTCTCATCTTAGTTTGTTCATCTGGCCAGACATATCCATGACCACGGATAACATGGTTTTCTTCATGTCCTATCCACAGGGCACTGGATCCATAAATTAACTCTTCAAATGCTGCAGCCATTCTTGTGAATCGCACGATCCAATCTCGCCATTTGGCCCGTAGTGCCTTTTCGCCGAATTTGGAAGAAATGCAGTTCAAGACGTCATCCATGAACGCATTATCTCCAGGATCAACGTGGCCACTGATGTTCGCAAACCCACCAAAACTGGCACCGTCGCCTGGAGGACATGGCTTGATTTCAGGGGAGATCTTTATTCTACCAGTATCAATATTGCAAAGGATATCCCACCAGCCGTGATGATTTCCAAAAGTAGGATTGGTGACACCAGCTATAAACCCAGGAACCAAAAGTAGTTCGTCAACTTTAGACAAGTCTGTATATGGGAACGCATGCCGCGTAAACCCACGCAATACACCGCCTGATGCCAGTGAACACGCGGCCAGCACATGGTCTGCGACCTCGCCAGAAGGTCTTAGATGACTGAGAAATATTATTCTTTTCTGTGTAAGAAGCCCATTGACCAATACAATAATGGGATGTGTATATGGGCCATTCGTAGTGAGATGGGGATGGAGGGCAAATGGTTGGGGGTTTGCGGAGTGATGCTGAGAGAAAGTCGATATTAAGTGTATCAATGAGAACTAAATCCAAGTTACCGTTGGTAACAATCCAAAGCATTTGTTTTGGGGGAATGGCCTACATCTCCAACAGTTTCGGGCATTATTGCAACAGGAACCTTGATAGGTATAGGTATACCAGAATAAACAACCTTGGTTTCAAACTCGTGGCTGTCCCTGTTGATTGTGATCCTCCCATTTACAAGTTTATTCCTTCCTGGCGCTAGATCAATATATGTCGTCGCCCTTGTTTCGGGATCTTCATCCCCAGTTGTCAGCATTCCCAGAGAAGAGGGAGACCTCATTTGCTGCTGTGCGGCATTTGGATATATATGGGCCATCTCTTCAAATTTTTCAGTGAACATTTCTTTCTGTTCACTAGAAGAGAGAATTTGGCGTTCGAAAATAGAAAAATCCGGCATGGCTGAAAGATCCATTGCATTCACAGCTGTGAAGATTTCTGCGAGAGTATCTACAGTAGGTGTTTTGAAGTATTCCTCAAGTGCAAGGAGTAGGATAGGCTGTTTAATATTCGGTATTAAGATATATATGCCCTGCAATAGGAGTTTATAATTACATACCTTATAGATATGAAGGAATGAATGCCTGGTGCATATGGCCATGGCCTTTACTTTTGCGCCTCTGCGGTAGAGTGAGTTTCCCACCCTATCTATCCTTAATAAAATTCGAGAGTATGTACCTTTTTTCTCTTTTATCATGCTTTGTATTGACTAAATTGAGTACATATATTAAAGGCGCATGGCCCGAGGCGTCTACTTCGACTGATTCTCGTTCTGCGTCTTTATGCAAAAAGAATATAGTCCAATCTTGAATGCGGACATGAGCTTGGTCCGGCAGCATAAGTTCGGCGAGCATACTACAAGTCTCATGAATTAGCGACATCTTTTCTTTTGTTGTCGACATAGAATGCAGAATATATTTTTAGTTTTTTAGTTTTTTAGTTTTATTCCATTTGGTAATTAAGGATCTTAGTATATTTGATGTGTATATATAACCAATTGAGTTATGAAATGGGCTTGATACTCACTGTTCATCGCCACTGATAGCATTTGGGTACTGATGTTCCATTGTGGGTCCTTTATCAATAGAGAACTCGGCAACTAGGATATACTCGACGTGCAGCTGATTATTCCGCGAACTTCGACTACTCCTAGCACTGGCTCGTTCAGTTCGAACAGTACTGATACTACCCGACGGGCTTCGTCCGGAAGCCTCATCATTAGGCGTACTCAAGCTCATGATGGGTGAAATTAGAGATTGTAAAGGAATAAATACTGGAGAGGTAGAAGCGAAGTAAATGGCTTGGAAGTAAAGGTAGAAAGGGGGTTGGAAATAAGTATGAAAACGATATCTAATTTAGGTCGTGGCTACAGGTGCGATTGGGGGAGCTGATGAATGTTAACTGGCCTCCCCTTTGTCGGAGAAGTGGTAAGTGGCAGTTGATACAGGAGTTCTGTGTGAGGTTTCCGTGTTGCACGATGTCGCGCGAAGCAGTTGCAGTTGCCCCTCTGTTTCTACCTCTCTCTGGCTTAGCCGATTCCAAGTTGTTCCTGGCAGGCCCGCAAGAGGGCAGGTAGCTACCTATAGCTATTTAAGTACATTAAAGTTATTTATATGTGTATCTACTCTCTACCTTACTTACTCTAGATACATACCTACATTATGTAGGTGAAGCGTGCGGCGTGCCTTACTGATCTCCACAGCCTCTTTGCATGATAGATATGCTGCAACCAACCTTCCGACTTCCCCGGGTGTTGAATGGGCCCTGACATCCCACGGACCCTGGGGGCGCTACCTTAAAAGCTAGCTCAGATCTGCGCCACGTTACGAGAAGAAGCATTTAAGCCATTATTGTGGCGTTTGTTCCCCTAGCAACCTACACCTCGTCTTCCTCAAAAAGCCCCCAGTCTATTTACTCGTGTGGAGTCTTTCGTAAATTCACTCGTTCGCAACTCCACAACCCCTCCATCACCTTCCTGTCAAATCTTTGGGCCTTATAATTACATGTTGCTACCCCCTTCTTTCAATACCACCTGCATATCGTCAGACAGAACCTTTGCTTTCCACAAGGAATAGGATTTAAATGCCTCCAAAACCTGCATGCACAAGTCCGTACGACGGAATTAAGCAGCAACTGACTGTTGATGCTTGCTCAAGCTCGACTATAAAGCTTTTAACGGAATCATTCACTACTACCGAGCCAAACGTCACATCGGCTACTGTCAAAATATCCTCGCGATCAAAGAATGCGAAATTAACCTCGCAGAAGGTAGCAACAGAGACCGTCACTGTAGCAGTTTCGCCGGCATCAAGGATAGTAGAGAAACAGAAGCTTGCGATTGAGGTAATAAATATCTGCCTCAAAGCTCTCACCGATGCGGCGAAAAAAGATGCGCCGCCTCCTTCCGCTCCTGAAATCTCTGCGCCAGCTCGGAAAACAGGAAAACTAGTTTCTACGAATAGCAAACCATTGCAGTCGCGATCCGCAAATCGTAATGACACGAAGTCCGATCCAATTGCGAACTTGGCGTCATGCTGCGCTCTCTCAATATCATATCTTAACTCGATCCAACATACCTCTAGTCTCCCAGAGATGCCCCCACTACAAGTCGAGACCGCCCAGAACAGCCTTCTGTTAAAATTGATACAGCTCGGAATGTTTGAGATGGCATTAAAAGAGGCTCGGAGCCTGAAGCGGAAATTGACTGAACATATGCAAAATGGATCTGCGGAGGAGAAACAAACTAATGGGGTTCAAATAGTATCAGCAAAGTCTAAGCACTCTGGGAAAGAAGGTGGGGCTACAAAACCTGAGAAGGAATCGTTTAGTAAGATGCTTGAGTTTAAGGATGTGACTGCGTCAGTACCTGCTTTTCCATTGGTTATTTCATGCCAACTGGGAATGCTGCGATGTCTTGCAGGATTGAAGAGACCAGAGTTGATTGAGGTTCGTGCTTTTCTGTTTCGCTGAAAGCTAAGAAACCACACTAATCTGATATCTTCCCAGGCCATCATCCCTTCATTATCTGCTCAATACAATCCCTTATCATTGATAAAGGTTTATTCAAAATCATCCCCGTCTAAAGCGTTGACCCATTTGAATGTTCTTATTCATACTCTCTTATCTATAACTCCTTCAACGGCGGTGTCTTCTGACAGCGATGCCACAAATATCAAACTATTCTGTAGTCCTAAAACAGCACTGGAACTACAAACACTAGCGACTCAGTGTGGTGTCTTGAGAAAACGTCTCCAGTCTAATAACACGGGTATAATTGAGAAGGACACCGCCGAACAATGGGAAAGTTGGCGCAAATATTTAACCGCGTTCGTCCGACGTTCACAGGAACAACGGACCAAGCCCGACCGTTATAAATTTATACAACAAACATCAAATACAGTCCGTCAAATACTTCATGGGAGTAATTCATCAAAATCCTTACCATTAGAGGTGATTAAAACTCTCGCCACCGTCTCGTTCGACGCCGGCTTGCTAAAAGAATCTATGAATTGCACGGAGGAATTACTTATGGAATTGGAGGCCATGAATAACGAGTCAGATTCAGCGCTGAAAGTCATCAGTAATGTCCGATTAGCAACCATCGAATTAAAACTATCAACAATTGGAAAGGATGGGGAGCTCATCCTAGATAATGAAATTGTCGAGGGGCTCAAAGAACGGGTTGAGATTGCGGTTGAAGGGCTTGCATCAATTAGAAATGGTAGAAAGGCGGACCTGGAGCTTTTGTTGAACGAGGTAGCCCTACTGAGAAGGGGCGGGGTCAGTTTGCTGGCTTCTCTTCTGAAAGACGAAACGGACAGCGAGGAAAGAGTGGAAGAGACAGTGGATGATAAGGAGGCAAGGTGGACTTTAAGAATTTTATGTGATTCAATCGCTCGAGGGGTTATCCGATTTTGCGGTAAATATTTGACGATGGTGATTTCGGACGAGGAACGAGCAAAAGCAACCAAAATTGTCACATCTACAATTGATACAGCTATCTCAACGTCTTGGCGAGGATTTATCATTAGTTCCCCAGATGCGTGGGAAGCTGTCGAGGATTTAGTCAAAGAGTCTTTGACTATAATCAGATCACTGCCAGAAAATGATATTGACCACGCTACGTTTTACGAAAAGTTTTCCACGACATATTGGCAGATCCATCTACTCTATCGAAAAGCAGGCATGGATAAGCCAAGCATCCTAGCCTTAAGAAGAAGTCTCATGATACTAGAACGAAGGCCCTCGGGGGAACTCGTCCAAACTAACGCAGCTTTAAAATGGGAGCGATTGGGCAGTCTTTTCCTTCTAGCAGGCGATTATAGGAGGGCTGAGGATGCGCTATTGAGCGCCGTAAACGTGTTTTTTGAAACCGGGACTCTGGAAGAGATTGGGCAGAGTGCCATGAAAGGCGAGTTGCCTGGAAATGCGTTCGATTTGCCTACTAAGGAGGCAACAGTCGATAGAGTTTTGGCGGGCCTTGTCAAATGTGCAAACAAGAAGAAGGATGGTGTGGCTTCTTCGCTACGGTTTGATTACGCAGGAATATCAAAAACGGCACGAGGTGCGATGCTTGAATGGTCGATGAGGTTGGCAATTGGAACCACGGGAAGTGATGGTACAGTCGCCCAAATATTAGCCGAGAGGTTACTAGACCTGTATTCCTTTGAAGAAATGCCTTTACGAAGAGCTAGAGTTATTTCGAAACTCTTAGAGCTCGCAGTCGATCATGCAGACCTAATCAACAAGGAGGAGGCTAAAAGTCTGGGCGAGGAGACATTTGAATGGGCCGAGGGTCCAGCTGCAGTAGCTTCGACGGAGGACAAACACCTATTGAGGTATAAAGATGATATAATAGCAGGTTGTCTGGTCAGCTTATCTTTCTTAAGATGGCAAGATGGCGAAGTCGAACCGGAACTGGTAAAAAATGCATTGGAGCTATGGAATAGATTGGTGAATGAATGCATCACTTGGGACGCAGTGGTAGAAAAAATGGAAGATATAAATCAAGTAATGAAAAAGTTGGAAATGGTGGCCGAATTTTTTGAGATGAAGGGTGAAGTTGAACTCAAGATTTGTGCTTTGAAGGTCCTGGTATCCTTTAGGGGAATAGAAGATAAAGCGAACTATGATTGTAAGTCAAATTCTCTTCAAAAACATCTGCTTGAGGTAATGTTAATAACCCTTCTACAGCCCTTGTCCAGTTACAAAGCCTTCTTGGGATCCAGTACCTTCGACTTGGATACTCTGGAAGGGCAGGAATGGCTTTAGTAAAAGCCCAAGCCTTGATTAGTAAAGCTCTAAGTGGATTATCCTCGACGACAGTACTGCAATTCCACTTAGCATACACAGAATACCTTGTGAACATTGGAAACCTTGAAAAGGCTGAGGAATATTTTCTTTCGGCTAGTGCTTTGGTTGATGAAGACGAAGAACTTATAAGCGCGAAAATCTCAGGGGCCAAAATTGCGAAGAGGGTGAAGATCAACAGGATTATTGCAGACGCTGCATATGCAATGAGTCTATTGACATTCGAAAAGGCGAGTGATAGACCATGATGACAACTATATATTTGCCATGAGCTAATTCTTGGAGTATTATAGGGAAATCCTAATGATGCATTGACACATGCTAGAAGATGTGTCAGGCTTAATCAACGTGCCTGGGCCGGTTTGGAGGCTCTCAGCAAACCAACTACCCCAAAATCTGACTCTCTTATTCAAGGGATGGCAGCGCTCACAACTAGCTCTTCAGCACCAAAGGTTCACTCGACTACATTAGCAGCATTCAATACACCTCTTCTTTGGCCACTTGTCTCGGCTCTTCACTCTAGTCTCCTTCAGGCGTCCAACATATACCGTCATCAGGGGATGGTTCGTGAGGCCGAGTTTTACCTTCAGCAAGCCCTCAAGACCGTTGAAGCAGTAAATGCAACATCTAGGATGGCCAAGACAATGACCTTGTATGGAGATTTGAAAGTGAGGGCAGGCCTAACAGAGGAAGGAACAGAGATGCTAGAGCAAGCAAGGGAGTTGATTACCAACGGCCACGATTTTGTTGAAATCGAAGTTGCGGCCGGAAACTTGGAGAGAATCCGAGGGGATTGGCAGGAGGAGAGTGAGGCTTATGAACGCGCCGAGAAACACTTAGAAGAATTAATGGCCGTCGATAGGATTGAAAATTTAGGAAGCCATAGACCAGACTCACAAATAGTGGTAGAAAAGTAAGAAAAGTATCTCCAAACTAATTTTGGGGGACATACATTAACGATTAGCAGAATGTCTAAAATGGTTCTAGACGGAGAAAACAAGCAAAACTCTAGGGCGAAAGCACCCGCCAAACGCAGAGGAAGGGTACCAACAACAAAGTCAAAGGCTGCAAAGGACGAGATCGAGAAAGCTTCCTCCTCTGTTAGCTTAACGTCTACAGTTGTTGGCGAATGTTCCACACTTCTCAAGCAGAAAGGGAATGTTTTGAGGCTTAAGGCCCATAATTTTTCAATGCAGCAAAAGTGCGAAAAAGCTGAAGCTTTACTCAAGGAAGCAGCAAAGCTTCCTATTGGGCACCAAGAAGCCGTCGTCCATGGCTTGACTGAAGCAAGGCATCTCTTCCAAGAAGCTTTGATTCTGATGAGCTCTGATCCAATTTTCGGGGTTCTTCAAGACTCGAGTATTACCATCCATACCTGTCATTGAGATATTTATCACTGACGCATATATTATTAGCTATTTCTTTGCCCAATATTGCCTTACATAAATCAGAGAATTTGGATCCAACTACTAAATCAACTCGCAAACCTGCCAAAGAGCGCAAAGCTGTGACAGAGTTTATGGAGCTTCTCGAGAAGGCTAGGGATGCAGTCTATAACGTGCACACCAGGGCCATTAAGTGTGGATCTTCAACAATGACACACAGTGTAGCTTCCCTCCTAAGTGAAATCATTGTGTTGATTCATGCAGTGAGTAGTGTAAAGGGCAAAGGGCCAGAGCATCCATTCTTTGCGAGTTATTCTCTTGGTAAGTTTGGACTCAATTATGTGAAGAACAACTCGCTTACTTCTGTCAGAATTACACAAAGGACTCTCGATTCAAAGGGAGAAGGCAGCTATTGAGGCCGAAAGGATTTCAAACAGCATTCCTGAAGACTTGAGTTGGCCAATAAACGGACCTCACGGTGGGACTGTGGCAACAGAGCTCAACTCATTTGAATTTTCAAGTTTTCAACAGGATTATGTTGATATTATCCCAAACAGATGGGCAGCTGTTTCGATTTCTTTGAATGAGAGGCGCGATGAGCTTTACGTCTCACGTTTCCAGGCCGGAGAAAGCCAATTCATGATACGTTTACCACTCACTCGCGGGAATTCACGAGATGATTCCGAGGCCGTATTTGAGTACGGCGAATGCCGACAGGAACTTGACGAGATCATTGAAGGAGCCAATACCAGTGCTCACAATGCCAAAGAAATGACAAGTAAGGGTGCTAGGAAGGAATGGTGGGAGGAAAGGGAAGCCCTCGATTCTCGCCTCGGTGATCTTTTGGAAAACATTGAACACGTCTGGTTTTGTGGTTTTAAAGGTATATTTTGCCAGTATGCGCGTTATTCTGGACTTCTAGCAAGATTTAAAGCGACCTTTGAAAAGGTACTTGCAAAGTATCTACCTTCAAGAAAGCGAAAAAAAGCTGGGAAGGTAAACATCGATCATCGTGTGCTTGAGTTGTTCATTGGACTTGGGCCATCGGAAGGCCAAGAGACTTTCAATGAGATGCTCGTAGACTTGATATTTTATGTGGTAGATATCTTACAGTTCCACGGAGAGGGGAATGCTTATGATGAGCTCGACACTGATGAGGTAAGTCACGAGAAATTGACACTCTAAAACTAGAGTTTGCTGACTCGTGATTAGATGGTTGTAGAGCTTACAGATGCTCTGGATTCGTACCATCAAGAGGTTTCTTTCCATGTAAATGATGCCGAACGCGGAATTGATCATACGATTTTGATCCTGGACAAATCAGTACACATGTTCCCCTGGGAATCAATTCCTTGTCTTCGTGGTCATTCGGTTTCTCGACTTCCATCTCTGGCTGCCCTTCGCGAGCGAATTCTAAAGATGCAAGAAAAATCACCATCGCAGACTGTTCCCGGCTTTTATGTAGACAGAGATAAAGGCTCCTATATTCTTAATCCTAGTTCGGATTTGGTCTCTACTCAAAACATGTTTGAAGACGGCTTTAAAAATTTGGATGGTTGGGAAGGAATAATCAACAAAGAGCCTTCTGAGGAGCAATTCCGGAATTATTTGAAGACCCGTGATCTCCTTATTTACTCCGGACACGGAAGTGGTGCACATTATATTCGTGGAAAGACCGTCAAAAAGTTAGAACAGTGTGCAGTTTCTATGCTTCTGGGGTGTAGCAGTGGAGCAATGAAGGATTCTGGCGAATTTGAGCCATACGGAATGTCTCTGAACTACCTGTTGGGGGGGTGTCCAACCTTACTGGCAACCTTGTGGGACGTAACGGACAAAGATATCGATCGATTCTCAAAGGATGTTTTCGACAGGTGGGGATTGTTCAACAAAACAGACAAGTCTTCAAGGAAAGTTAAAGGGAGGGCCACCTCTCCATCTGCTGGTGTATCACTTGTGGAGGCGGTTGCCAAAGGAAGAGATTGTTGTAGTTTGAAGTATCTTAATGGCGCGGCACCAGTGGTTTATGGTATTCCGGCGTACTTGTCTATTTAACTTTTTGTTTTTCCTTTACACAGTATCAGGTTATGGGCCCGGAGTAGCGTCAGGGAAATTATAGGTGTTTGGGTGCTTGAATTTAGGTTTTTTGTTTACTGTATGATATCAAGGGTTTAGAAAGTATTGTCATGATTACGAAGTTGATGGTATTTCATGAATCAGTTCTATATACAGGCGGCCACTTTATAGCTAGCTACCATAATATATACGAGGAAGATTTCTTAGAGCTATTTAGGGGCAAATTCCAACACTTGTAACGTATGCGGTTATAAGGTTTTACATCCCACAATCCAATTATAGTAAATAGTAAATAATATTGTGATTAGGGCTGCAGTACATACATAGTATATATTGACTATCAAGCTCGATTAAACACGTTTTCTAGGACCTATGGTAAGTACACATATTATAGTGATCAAAGATTTGTACTCATACATATGTATAAAAAACCAATATACCAAACCCCATAGGTCACAGATTACCTCAAAGCTTATTTCTAATCCTTAACATCAGCACCCAAATAGCAAGGTTTCCTTTTCGCTTATGTACTTTTCGATATACTGATAGGTAATACCTGCGCGTCTTGAATCTTTACTTGCGGGAAGTTCAGCTAGGGACCGTGTTGAGTGGTGGAAGGGCAACTAAGTCCAATTAAAGGCTTGCTAGTCAACATCGCCAAGCCTCTCCATCCTCTCAGTCTCGCCCAACCTCCCACCGCTCTACTAAATTGAGTTCCGAAACATGGGTGAGCACTGGGGGGGGGGGGGGGGGGTTTATAAAGGTAAAACCTTGGAAATATAGGTTTTCAATATAAGTGAGATATACCGTAGAAAAGACTTAACTCTGGGTTTATGCTACAACTAAGGTAACAATATTGAGCCACCATATCTTATGGTCGCTTGAGAGCACATATATGCCCAAGCACATGTAATGCATGATTCCTAAATAATAGGTGACGGTGAATTCCGAATTAGCGCACGATAAGTGATCACCAGGGTTTAGGGCTTTCTACAGGCCCTTAAGCTTTCACACTATAAACCTCCACTAAAGAGCCATCCGGTCTAGTGTCAAACGAGCTACACGATATATTGATGGCGCCGGAACGGGGAAATGAGGGGGGTAACGGAACGATAGTTATAAGACTAGTTGGATCATAAGAAATCACTCGGTCAGCCCTTTGAATCACAAAGAATCACTCATTGTTTGGTAGTATCCTCTAATACTTCCGCAAGGTGGGTATAAAAAGGTTTAGGCCTATAGACTCATTGGGCTCCTAATAATATAATCCATCTTAAAAATCCTTGATCACTCGAATATGGTGAGCATATGTTGACTTTGCCATCATAATTAAGCTAAGCGCAGCAGCGACGTCGATATCTCTAGTACAAATTACAAGACTATGGAGCCAAAAGATACGATGGTTAACATAAACCGTTACTCTCGTTTATCATCCTTAGCATAATTACATATTATGTATATTATTTTAGCACAGGCTACTACATGTACATGTAGTTGATCCCTTGACCGACGGTAATTCACTATTCCTAGCCTAGTTATTTCATTTAGAGCAATATCCGACATTATTTCATTTGTTTGAATAAAAGATGGGAGAGTCCCTTGAGAAATCAATTCATCCGCACAAATCGCCTAAAGCGACGAGATATTCTCATTCTAGGTTGAATACACGGGTAGAATTAGAGCTGAAATACTCGAATCGGAAATAGAGGGGTTGCTTTTTGAATTCGTATATTGAAGTTACCTATATACGTTTAGTTCAGCGATATCCAGTCCAGTGCATAGCCTTCAGTATAATTGGCGTACGATCAACACTAGTTCATGGGTTCTGATTTGGTATGATACATGTGAGTTCTGGCGGTTGTCTCGCTTTAATCGCGTCTAGCCGAGGCTCTGGCAGATATGGCTTGTGAGACCACTCCTCACATCACTAGCTGGCCCATGCTCAAACTGTTGCAACAACCCTCGACCTGACCTTACCCCGGATTTCGCGATCGGACTCCGACTCTGCTTCATCTTCTCTCAACTCCAACATATCTACGACATATCATAATCGCCAGCATCTGTTGAATATACCTGATGACTTCGCCTGCCTCAGGTTCAGTGGCTCCTGTGCCGGATCTAAAATCTAAGCAGATCTCTAACCCGAAACCTGGCGCCAATCCCCCATCACATGCTCGTCGACTACTTATTCTCTCCCTGCGATACGCGATTTCACCAAAAGAATATGCTATTATTCGACGTCGCATACTTATTAAAGGGCCCTCCTCGATAGCTATTAGAACCCCTTCAAAAAGCCAGTTCGATGCTGTTTGCAATCAGACCGAAGATTTCATTCCAGCTTCCACGCGCGCTGGATTACGAGTATTTCTAGCTAGTAGTCTTGTATTGAAATTGTGGGATGTACTATCTGAGAAGTTGTCAAAACGCAAAGGGGGAAAAGAGTTGTAGGTTACCTATTCACTCGTTAAGCTCGCATGTGATAGTTAACGGTTGTGACAATAAGGACAACTGTGATCCATACCACGTTCTTCAAGAATCCCAATTTCCTACTGTCACTCTCGCTCTCGACACTTGTGGTATTTCATAGACTGCTTTATCGTTTTCTATACCAACTGCGCTCAAATCTACTTCTACCAAATGCCCAAGCTCGGCGGTTTCGGCAGAGACACCCGAAGGTGTCTGGAGTATTCACTTCACCGCTTTCACCCTCTATAGGATCTTCACTTGCAGGATTAGCACTACTATTACATCCAGCTTCCGATCGGCGAGTTACGATAGCGGTTTATGCTTTTGTGAAGGCTTTGGAGTACTCCTACAACAAACTGGAGGATGATGGATGGTTTCCTGAGCGGCCTTGGGTACGTGTTCCTTCGAAATGGTCCATTTGGATTCGGTTATTGATCTATAAATTGCAGTGGTTCGGCTCGTGGCTTCTTTTCCCAATAACATCCGGGCAGCTATTTTATACCTTCGTATTCGATAGAGATTGCTTCCCGTCGGAATACGGCGGGTTCATTCTCGACCACTCTAAAGAGTATATCCAATCAAAACCGGCAGGATATTCTTCCACGGTAAAGTGGCTAGGAGCCTACGATATTATAGACAGTATTAGCAAAATTGCGAAATTAGGTTACCCGTAAGTTACCTTCCGAGTTCTTAACAATCCTTTAGTTCAATGATCAACTGACAGTTTTACGTTCAACAGGCCATTTAACTCGCCAATCTTGTACCCCAATTCAAACATACTCCCTAAATCACTCCAATCAATTTCTCCCATAGTGGACCCCGCTCACCCCATAATAAATTCCCTCCAATGCGCTGTTCTTCACCCACACGAACCCAGTTGCCTCAAAACATACCTAAACTTCTGGGCCTCAGAGTTCACACACGTAGCAAAATTCATGAGTATATGCTACGGCTTCTCATGGGTCCCGAAGTATAGCCTCTTCTTTAAAGACCCCGTAAGTGCGCTTACGAGGCTCACCCGGTCGACACTGCTCACGAGCACGTTCATCACCGGAGCAATAGGAACATCCTGGGCCACATGCTGTCTGTTCCAAAAAACACTACCAAGAGGGCTATTGCCAAAGGGCCGTTTCTGGCTAAGTGGTTTTCTTGGAGGACTATGGGCGTTTGTAGATTCGAGGGGTGGGAGAGGGAACTTTTTGTATAGCTTGCGATTAGGTATTATTAGTGCTTGGAAAGTACTTGTGAAAAGGGGCCTCGTTAGGGGACTCAAGTATGTTTCTCCTTTGGTCTTTAAGCGCGGGTGTACAAATTTGCTAACGTGTGATAGGAATGGTGATGTATATCTTTTTGTCTGCTCTCTGGCTATAATCAACTCCCTATTCGATATGGAAGCGCATTCTGTTACTGGTAGTGCTGCGCGTAGAGTATTGAGTTCTGTCAGGGGATTGGGGCTGAAGGACCCTGTTAATGAGAAAAAGGTGGTTGAGGCAGAGACACCGGCATCAGCCAAGGCTACAACTAAAATGGTTTAGAATGATAAATATCCGTTATTATTAGTACATTATCATTGATTTATGGCGTTGAGGATATCGATGGCTTCTGTACTTAGGACTGAGAGTATTATATATGTCTGGACATATTGTTTGAGATTCGTTATACGTGAATACACAGCAAGATACCTGTGATGGTTTGCACATTTAACTAGGCGAAATAAACACCATATTTATGGTTATATATATCTTCACAAAACATTTCTCACCGGTCACTTGTACAAATGGTAACTACGTGTATCGTGCGAAGATATTTCTTCTCGATATGTAAAATACAGCTCCGTGAAACGCATATATTCTAGACCCAGATTTAAAAGCACGAAAGTTTAGAATGCGTGATGGATTGAGATCAGGCGTGAAATTTTGGGAAGGAAGGGGATTTTATTGAAGGGGTACATGTAGTTAGTGGGTTTGCCAAGCCTGGCGTTATGTTCTGTGGACGGGCACGAGACTACATAGCACGAAAGTTACTGGGCTTTTAATCCCCTTTTTCTATCCCATAGCTACCATGTCAATCAATGCACATGTTTACCTATTTAGCCCACATACTTGGCGGGGCGTTTCTATATGGAACAATGTTTTTCCAAATTGACAAGCTGCAAGGATGAGGCTAGCTTCCGAGTGATATTTCATGAACCATGTCCCCAGGTCATATTGCAATACTACAACCATACCAAACGGAATTAGGAAACTAGAGTAGAACACATATGTAAATTCTTTTTTTATCGCCAACTATATCCAACTATAATCACTACATTTCAAAAAAAAAGCAGATATCCCCTGGATAACCGCACCATGCCATCTACCACCACCCACTCCAACTTTTTCACCGGGCTATTCCCAGATCCACATACACTTAACCGAAGGTAAGGATGTTACCAGCGTTGGCGATGACGTATGCCTTCAAAGTAGAAGTTCCGCCAGGGCTGAGACTATACGGCATGGTGGTTAGAGTTCCAG